GGGAGCCGGGCGCGCGCCAGAGGGGCGGCGGGGGAGGGGCGGAGCCGCGGCGGAGGCGCGAGGCGGGCGCCGCGACTGAGGGAGCGTGGGCCGCGGCGCGGTGCGGCTTAGCGGCCGCCTGACCGGCTGCCTTCCCCGGCGTTCCCCTCGGCGCGGGGAGGTCACCGAACGACGGCGGAGCCCGCGAGGCCCGAGAAAGCGGCTGGGCCCGGGCATGGTGGCCTGGGGCGGCGCGGAAGGTGAGCGACCCCCGGGCCGGCGGGTGGGGGAGGGGCGCCGAGCCACCGCCGTCGCCACCGCCCGCGCAGCCCGAGGCGCCGAGGCCGAGAGCCCGCGGTGCTGCCGCGAGGCCTCCTGCCCGCCGCGCCGCCCCTGAGATGCGCCTCAGGCCGCCGGGTTATGTAACGCGTGACCTCCGGTTCCCCCTCCACCTCGCGCTCCGTCGCGCGCCGACCCGGGCGCCCGCGGCCCTGCCTCCGAGTCCCGCCGCCGGCGTCGTAAGTCACCGGTTCCTCCTGCGCCGGCGCCTGGCCAGCCATTCATTCCCTCGCGCGTTTCGAGCGTCCGCTCCACCAGCATTTGCAGGACGTGGCAGCGGCGCCCGGGGCCCGCGCCGCGGTTCTCGGCTTTCCTCCGGCGCACCGACTTCTCTCTCTGCCTTGCTCTCTGGCATCCCGGAGGCAGTGTTTCCTTCACTCCTTTTCCCTTGTCACTCATCTGTCCCCTTCATGTGCAGGACACCTGTCCCCAAGTGTCTGTACAGGTGCTCAGTTCACACCTGGGTGTGCTGCTAAAATAGTCGGGGTAGACCGAGAGGGCCACTTGTCTGTTTGGAGACGCTTCCTTTCTGTAGTATCGTTCCTTAATTGTTTAGAAAACACTACAGGTGATACATGTCTAGGATTTTACTGTGTTTTTTTTTTTTTTTTAAGCCGTGCGGGTATAAAGTAGAAATGGTATGTAGATAAAAATAAGAGACCTTATGAAAAAGGATTAAGGACTATGTAACAACTCTTAAATTACCTGCTTGGTCTCTGGCTTCTTTAGTCCCTGTTCTTCCTTTAGGTAGGATAATAATACCATAATCTTGTTCCTATGGAGTGCACATTAGCTCAGCTTAACGTTACCATAAGTTTGTTTTCTTTCCACGTTGATGGGGTTTTGCCCAGGCAAATGCGGCTAGATTACCCATCCCGCCCTTCCAGTGTTACCTGTGCTGGACACAAACAGAAATCTTACCTGAAGCTCTCCATCCAGGAGTTCAGTCTGTACAAGTGCACTCGTTCACTCTGCTTAGTTTAGTTATTTGCCACTTTTCTTGAATTTCTCTGTTTTCTTGTTTGTGTCTTGTAGGTCCTTTGAGGTCAGTATGTACCAAATCGTGTATCTTGTCATGAAACTTTACTCCTTTTAATGGTAAATAATGCATATTTGTTCATTTTTTTTAAAGGGTGGGAATCACTTTTAATATTAATCCCTATGTTGTCTCAGGTAGAAAAATACAATATTTTTTTTTTCAAAATTAATGTGCTTAGATATGTAGCTCTACTTCTTTAACACTAAAAACTAAGATTCTAAACTTGAAGGGGAAAAAAAAAACCTGTTCACAACAACCAGTCACTGTAAATAAATTCCAGTGACTACATATACCTGTATTTAATAAACACAGTATTTCTTGGCTTTTGAAGTGGAAAGATCAAAGCATTTAGATATGGGCTTGAATTTTGTCTCTGCTAGTTGACCTTGGACAAGCTTTTCATTCATAGTTAGAAGACATCATTTTCCAGTTTGGTTAGCTGGGTTAATAATTTAGTTCTTAAATGAAAGGCATGTAATGAGACTGAGTCTACAGGTACTCAGTGTTTTCTGTGCCATACTCTTGTAGCTGTATACTGAAAAGGGCCTGGTACACTAGAGAGAATTCTATGAGAAGAAAACTGGTCACAGGAGACCTGCTGTCCACAAGTGAGCAGATACTGAAGGCTGGTATGATTCTTTGTGCTTCATTATAAGGGATTATAAATCATAGTATCAACTGGGCTTGGTTAATCTCAGCGTTGGGTAGACAGGGATCTCTGGTAGTTTGAAGCCATCTTGATCTATGTAGTGAGGTGCAGACCAGTTAGGACCTACATAGTTAGACTCCATCATAAATAAAAACCAAAATAAATCACAGGGTAAGTTAACCAGAATATTGAAAAACAAGCAACCAAAAATACTTTTTACTTCTTTTCTAATAACAATAATGCCAACTGAAACAATGTGAGTATTAATAGATATTTTAAAATATAATTTTCTTTGACCAGAACTTGAGAGTATGAGAAGAGTGATATATTTCAGAGACAAGTTGCAGGTTCTTTTAGTATCTCAGCTCCTTGTAAACCATGCACAGAAGCAAGTCTTAAAGTTCTAGTGTTACCTTCCTTAGATTGTTGGATTAGTGCCCTCACTGGTGTCTTTATTTTGCTTGCTGGTCCTCACATAAAAATCAGAATGATCTTTTGAAACAGAACTTGGATTGAAGTTTTTGTAGTTAAAATCTTCAAAAGCTCTGGATTACATACAGAATTGAATCTAAGCTCCCTCTCCCTGCCATCAGGGAGAACTTAACCTTCACCTTACCCCATGACTCTCACTATTGGGCTTCAGGATGCTGCCCTGGCAGATACACTGTACACCGCTTCTGGCTGGTGACAGTTGTTCTTGCCTTTTCTTGCTGATCTTCACGTGAGGGAACTTTTCCTAGTTTCCTAAATAGAAGCAAGTCTCTTTCTTCCTATTGACTCTCTTGTTTGCTTTTATATTAAATATTTTTTCCTTTTTCTCATTTGTATTTGTTATCAGATACACTTTCTACTTGTTAATTATTCCCATTAGATTTGTTTGACTCTTCCTAACTACAGGGTAGAGATCCTATTAGATTTATTCGTAATTTTATCCCTAGTACTTAGAACTGTGTCTGGTACCTAATAGGCTCTTTGTAAAACTTACCAATAATTGCTGTAGTTATTTGAACATTTGACAACTTTAGTCAAGATCCTGTCTGCTACCATTTACTTACTGATTGCATGACCCTGGACCAGTTAATGACTTCTGATGCTTCATTTTATTCAGCTGTATATGATGACTATAGTATTACCTACTTTGTAGAATTACAGTGAGTAATTGCGTCAGTACATGTTAGAGAGAGAACATAGATCTGAGTTTTCTATGCTTTGTGTAGAGGCCAGAGGTCTATGTTTAATGCCTTTCAGTTGCTCTTTGCCTTAGCTTTTGAGTCACAATCTTTCACTGAAGCTGGAGCTTGCCATTTGGGCGGACTCTTTGGCTCCTAGGATCTGTCTCTGCTGGAGTTATAAAGAAATGTGCAGCACACACCAGATTCTGTGGATAAGGATCTGAACTTAGGTCCTCACACTTGCAAAGCAGGCACTTACTGAGCCTTCTCCTCAGCTCTTACTAAATAAAACAAAACAGAAATAACAACAACAAGAAAACCCTAAACATATTGTTTCATATACTGACATCATTTTGGTTTTGTTTTTTAGAGACAGGGTTTCTCTTTGTAGCCCTTGCTGTCCTGGACCAACCTGTAGACCAGAGCTGGCCTCATCTCAGGAGATCCACTTGCCTCTGTCTCCAGAGTTTTGGGATTAAAGTTGTGTGCCACTATTGGCTAGCTTCTGACAACATTTTTTACTGTTGGTGTGAAATAAAATTGCTTTAGTTTTTATATTTAATTTTTTTGGGTGAAATTTTATTGCTTACCAAAATTTGACTTTTTTTTTTTTTAAAGATTTATTTATTTATTATATATGAATACACTGTAGCTGTCTTCAGACACACCAGAAGAGGGCATCAGATCTCATTACAGATGGTTGTGAGCCACCATGTGGTTGCTGGGATTTGAACTCAGGACCTCTAGAAGTGCAGTCAGTGCTCTTAACCACTGAGCCATCTCTCCAGCCCCAAAATTTGACTTTTTAAATACTTTCTCCATCTAGAATAAAATAAAAACAAACTGCTAAGAATGGCCTCCCTTTAGTCTTAACGTGTATATAAGATTTATTTTTCATTCTAAAGAATATGCTAAGTAACTTTCCCTATAGCCACCCACCACAGTGGCTTTCCTAGGTTTTGCTTTGAGATTGTACTGGAAATATGATCGTCATGGTGAGAGAACTTGAGGGGGCTTCTTGTTTAGGAAGGAGAGGTGTTTGATCATCGCTGGTACGATATTTTCTGCCATCTTGCACAAGGAGTTTTCCCTACATGTTGTATTTTGTTTCTCAAGTTGATGCTTAAAGCAACCTAGCAATATTCTACATATTTACCTTTTTGTCTCTTTTTAATTAAATGCGTTATTTTTTTTCTTTAGTGTTTATGAAACGAGACCATGACTGTAATAATGGAGACTTTGAGTTAATCCATCTTAAGTTATTCTTACAAATGTAAGATTCTGCACATGGCAATTATATTTTTTTAACACTAAATATTTTTACTTAGCATCTGTCCTTAGCAAAATGACTTTTTGTAATGTTTTTAATATCTCAATTTCAACTTTAAGTCATAGACTTCTAAGCCTTGTGCCTGAAACTTAGAAATAATGCTTGACTTTTTAACATTTGTTCCAAAGTTTAATAATAATTGGTAAGTTGCTATATATGGACTGTCTTCCAGGGTCCTTTGCTAAGTGGTTTCTCATTTAATATTCAAAAGCACTGTATAAAGTTGGCATACTTATAAAGAAACAGATTTGTAGACATGATGGTACTTGGTTGGGTCATGTGGTACAAAAAGAACTGGGATTTTTACTTTTCCCAGATTCGTGACCCAGGGCCGTAACGCCTTTGCAAGTTCCATTTTTAAAAGGACAAAGTTTTTCATTGTTGTCATATGTTTGTAAGTGTATGCTCCTTAAAATTAGCATGCCTGATCCCTGGAAGTTGTAGTTAGAGGATCTGGAATTTGGACTTCAGGCTTCGTGATTACACAGCAAGTTCTTTTAACCGTGGAGCCATCTCTCCAGCCTCCAGAACTGTAGTTTATGAGAAGTCTAATACCCATTTAAACATGGACGTTGAGGGAGGGGAAACACAAGCATTAGCAGGCATGAGAGAGAAGGAGAGTTAGCGATGTTTAAGTGAGCTTTGTAAACCTAAGACAGAGAGAGTCTGGGCTTCTCAAAAGAGAACAGTCTTAACAGTTGTATGGATGGCTTTTAAAGTTAGACTGTTCTGAGAAATATATCCTTAGAAAATTAACACTGGGAAAGAGTTAGATTTTGTCATTTTGTCATTTTGTGTGCTTTCCTACTTGGCCAAGAAGAGATGATTTGAAACACCGATGTATTTATTTTGAATTATATTCATTCATTTTGTATGCATATGTCTATACTTGTCAGTGTGTGTCTATGGAGGTCAGAGGACAATTTGTGCAAAAGTGATCCTCCTACCACATGGGTTCTGGTGATCAAACTTGGATCCTCATGCTTGATGATAAATGCTTTAACCCCCTTTTGAAATTTACGCCTCTTTATTTGTGTATGTGTGGAAGTCAGAGGCCATCTGGCAGGAGTCCGGGTTCTCCAGCTACTGTTTACATCCCAGCTGTTGAACTCATTGCATCCGGCTTGGTCTAGAGAGCCTTTGCCCACTGAGCTATCTCACTGGCTCATGGAAAACCTTTTACAGGCTAGTTTGTTCCTGTGGCTCTGTGTATGTGAGCTTGCATGTGTGCAGGTCAGAGGGTGTTGGTGTTGGGTACCATCCACTGTTTTTTATAAAACGGGTTTTTTCACTGTCTTGAAATTTGGACAGGTAGGCTAGGCTGGCTGGCTAGGGAGAACATTTAGTCTCCATTTCACCAGCACAAGTGTGTATCACCAAACCAGGTTTTGCTGTTGTTGTTTTACTAGGTTCTAGTGTTTGGACTGAAGTTTACCTGTGTGTATCTGCCCCCATGGCTTTCCATGTGAGTAGAGGTGGACCAAAAAAATGTCTATGACTGATGTTAGTATTATGTATGATTGTACTTGAGTCTAGTATGAAAGTAAACCAGAATGTTGCTTTCTGGCTTAGTTTTCTTGATCCCACTTAAGGTTTAAGAGGAACTTACTGAAGGTTTACTCATACAACAATGGTTGTATAATTCTCTAAACTCTCATTCTTACGTCTGAGATTACTAACATCTTTTAGGCACAGTCTGAATTATGTAGCTGAAATTTTGATTTAGGTTCTTTGAGTGTAGGATCTCCTTTCCATTGTGCTGAGCACTGAACTATGAAGCATGTTAGGCGACTGTTCTTTCACCCAGCTATATCATAATAAATCGTTAACTGCTTGTGCAACCTTGGGGAAAGGCCCCATGAAACTTCCAAGTAAAGTAAATCCTGAGTTTCAAGGGCCTCCCGACTT